ATCAATGCTTGCAGACTATTGCTGGACAAGAGATGCTCCGTTTAATGAATACAAGAAACAAGCCAAGAAGCGCCGAGTAGACACTGAATAGGACTAAACTACGTACATAATAGTTTTTTGCCTTTTGTTTCATTAAAAATCAGCAAAAGGGTTATAAATAAAATTTATTAAGTGTTACATAAACAGGACAGGTGAAATATTATCATGTAAAGCAACCATAAACACATGAAAAGACCTAGGTTTACAATTTATTATTAAAACTCTACTATCTACACAATATACATAGACATAAAATGTAAAAACTTAAATATCTTAGAAACAGTAGCCAATCAGTTGTTTTGTCATATTTGAATTCAGCACATCAAAATACATAATAAATAGCACATTTTATCTCTGAAGCAGACGACTTCTCAAAAATTGTAGACCAGTGTAATCTAAGGTAAAGTCACATTCTGATGTAGGAGCATATGGGCCTTCTTATTGATGTATGGATGAGAAATGTACCCTCCTGAATGAAATGTCTCGAGGGCACTCAAATGATTTGTTGCTTGAAGTAGCATTTTGCTGGCCACAGAAGTAATCTCTCACCCTTGTTTTTTGTTTAGGTATCAAGGATAAGATATCTGACCAGGAAGAATTCCTTCGACAGACACTGACAGGAGCATGCAGTGCTCCTGCTAACCTGCTAGAGGGTGTGAGTGTTTATTCAAATAGACTGAATTAACTCATTTGAAACAACAGTGAGGCTTCTTTTTTAGGGCTACGACACTCTTAGCATCTTTAACCACAGTATATAAAGTAAAGCCTTTTGTAAGTGAATCATTTCTACATCTTTCTTAATTTTAAGTGCTATTGCTGTAAGCTGTTGAAATTCAAAAAAATATGTTCGGTCCACCTTCTGGTATCTGTGTAGTATTTGTGTGTTGTCAAATGCTTTCCTGAACAGTGTTTCTAACTCCAGGTTCAGATTCTCTCTTCCACCCATTAACACCTGTCAGTGTAAAGGAGCTCCTCACAAATTCCCTTAGTGCCCAGCCCTTTCTCTTGGCCTGTTCCTCCTTCCAAATAGCTTTGTTGAATCTCTTCCTTGTCTGACCTTCAAAATGCCTCCTTCCTTAGTCATGTCCCCTGTTAATCTTCTCTTTATTATTGAACAGAAATTTTTTGCATTCCTTTGTCTCCCTCCTTAACTCGTGTACCTCTGCTTGAAATGGGACAAATTCAGAACCTAACTATCACCCATTTCTCTGTAGCTAGATTCTTGGTTTGAATAAAATAGAATCAAGAACAAAAACCTGGCCACCTCATTTAATCTCTAATCTTAATCTGTTCCCCATACAGAGCAGTGTGATTACACTTCGGAAGATGAGTGATATGCTTACCATTTAAACATTGTTTATATTCCACCTTTTAACATGAGCATCTTTGCTTCTTTTCTGTCCTGTCCTCTTATATATTAAAAAGATGTCTGAATTTTTAAAGGGTGGGCTGTATTGCTCCACTTCAAGCCCTGAATGTACAACTGGCAAATGCCTTTGAAACAACAGATGAACAGCACACTGATCCCATGCCTTTGCAAAAACCCCATAATTTTATGACCATGACTGCAGATACCGCAGGAGCTCTGATGCAAGCAACCATGGCTAGTGAGTTCTGTAATCTCTTTGGTTAGGGGTGCTATGCTATTTGACTCCTATATTCATGCTTCAGTTGGACAAGTGGTCCACAGCCCGAAGGTGTGTCTAAGACACAGCATCAGTGACAGTGCAGAATCTACATAACTCAGTCTCTTCTGAACTAGTTTTATGGGTCACTTTCCTTATGTTCCTTTTTTTGTTCTGTCCGTTTTGGCCTCCAGCTTCACAGAGGGAAGAATCCCTTGGATCTCATTGCACCAGGCTCCAGACTAGAATGTCAAAACTCCCAAGACTCCTTAGCAGCCTGGATTGTCAAGGTGGTGGAAAACGTTGGCGGGAGGCTCAAGTTGCGCTACGAAGGGTTGGTAGATTCTGACCAGTCTGATCAGTGGATGTTCTACTTGGATCCATTTCTTCATCAAATGGGCTGGGCAGCTCAACAGGGATATGACCTCCAACCTCCAGCAGGTATCAAGTAACCTGTCATTTTAAATCTGTTGTCGATAGAGCTGGTGATCATGAGTTTGAGACTGCAGTCCCCTCTTTTGTACTTTAAATCTGGATTCCAGATCCATGTGTGCACACACCACGAGACTAACAAACATCCCACTCTTTAATGAAAGAGTGTTTCATTAAATAGTATGACAGAGGTTACACCCGCTTGTTGTAATGTTCATAGCTGCTTTTGCCTGTCACCATCTTTAACCTACTTGAATGTGGGGGAAGGATTGTCTTTTGACATTTATTTTAATGGCCTTGGGTTCTGGTAGGAGGAAAACAATCCTTGTAATAAAGTGTAACTAATGCAATGCTATATTTCATCTCTCGGGAGACTCCATCCCAGAGCTCTGCACAAAGGTCCCCATTTCTTGCTCCTTAACAGCACACCTCTATTAGAGCCAGGTCAGTAGAGACTTCCCAGCCCACTATGATACCTAGACTTCTGCCTGAAGTAGGAGTACAACAGTGCATAGTAGGTTGTCCTGGAAAGTTAGTACACCCTAAGGAATTTGGGGGGGGGCGGGGGGTGAACAATGCATGTAGTGCAAATGCCTGTCAATGTAAATGACTCGCTCTGAAGTTCAGGGAAGTGGAGATGGTGCCACTCCCACTTCAGCATAAGCACCTCCTCCATTAACAAAACCACACAAGATGATCTGTCATAATATATATTTTAAAAGAGGAGCTAATTAAACTGATTATGAGAATTGATTGTCCACTATAATCGGGGGTCACAGCTTAAGCAGTGATTAGCTAAACAGAAGCAAGCTTCCAAAGATGCTGTTTTGCCAAGTATTTTTACTCCTCTGTTGGTTTTGGGTATGTGGCCGCAACTTCCCCAAAGGGGTACTGTTCCTGCTAATTACATTTTGCTATGTGGTGTAGCTGGCTTAACATTTGTTGGGAGTGATTAATCACACTGATTTTTTGAACGTATATCCTTCCTCTGCCTTGGAAATTATCCCCTGAATCACAGTAATTCTTGGTTTTGGTCACCAGCACCAGTGACACTTCTGATATAAACTGAAAAGTGTTAGGTAAGAGATTAAGAGAAAAGCCCATCTCTTACCTGCAAAAGCAGAAGAGAATTTACTTCAGAAACACAAGGTGCCCGTGGTTTCAGTGATGGGCATTTACATTAAATTCTAACTTTTAAGCAGTGCATGTGAATTTAGTTTTTTAGAAGTCAGTCTTTTTAAGCAGTTAGAGGAGAAGCCCAATCCATCTTCCTGCTGACGTCAATGAGAGCATTTCCCTTGTTGATAATTGTCTCAAGTCCCAAAAAGGAGGATTTGGAATCACACTGAAAAATTAATATTCTGTTTGTTTCACCGGCATCACTGTATTGATGGAAAATAAACAAAATTCTATGTCATCAGTCTCTCTCTCTTTAAGGATTTAAATAGTGCAGTTTTTAAACACTGGGCATATGGACTATCTTCTTAATCCAGTTTTGGGCTGCGTCCTTGATATTCTGTGAGAAAAGCCTTTGGTATCCAGTTCCAGGAATCCCTTAATAAATCTTAGCAGGAACCCAAATTATCCTTCCCCATTGGAGGTGGGAGCAACCTGTGATGGGGCATACTAAGGAAATAGCCCCACCTAACTGTGCTGCACTCTGCGATACTTCATTGCTTGCTGCCTGTTTAACCTGCAGCCATAAAAATAGAGGAAATGACCAGCAATAAATCTCATCTCATTAGTAAATTCAGTATTGTACATTCTTTTATTACACTATTGGTGTGATCAGTATGACCCCAAGCTCTCCATCAAATTAAAGATGTAGAAGTATATAGCTCACACAGTGGAACTTGATTTATGTAGTCCCTCTTCATACACAAGGTATCCTAAAGCATTTAGAAAAGCTGAGAGTTCTTAGCTGGAGCTCTGAGGTAAAGTAACATGGTTTCTTAATGGATGCTCTGCTTAGCATGGGTCAAAAATAAAAATAATTTAGCTTCACCCTCTTCATTTTCTGTGGGAGATACAAGGACTCTGCTCATTCACTATGCTACCTTTTTTTGCTGAAGCTATCCGGTCCCTGAAGAGTGAGGCAGAATGGCAGGACATCTTGACAAAGGTGAAAGAGGAAGAAGAAGGGTCCTCAGTACCCACTGATCTCTTTAAGGTAAAGTATCCAGTGCACAGAATTTGATCAAGCAAGGCTCCAGATAGTGTAGTGAAAACTGCTGGCTTTTGTCATAGCTGTCAGAATTAATGTAGGAGAGTAAGCCATTAGAGCAAATTGAATGAGGGCTTGCTACTGCTGACTAGAATGATGTATCATGTCAGGGTCAGATGTTTATTGAGCAGTGTTGCCATTTGATGCAGGTTCTGATGTTCCCCATTCAGGTGGCTGAAAATTAGGGATCAACCACTTTTTGTCTCGCTTTGTTTAGTACTGAGGATTAGAAAAATATTTTAACTGACTTGTTTGGCCTGTGGCCACATTCTGCTGCAAGATCAAGCCACAGTTTGCAAAGCTCCTGGGGGAAATCTCTTTGGGCCTGTCGTAGGGTTGTCCCACATGGAGCATCTTTCTGTGGCAGACTGTGGCACAAGTGCGCCTGCCTCAGTTTCCCCTCTCAGGCAACCCAAGGATTCCACTTCAGTCTCTCTTGCTTCAAAAATAACCTTCCTTGGGGCCAGTTTATTATCAAAACTATAGTGCATATCAGTCCATAAAAAAGTCCCTACATAGTCCCTTTATCACGCTGGTTTATAGAGTCCTTAAAATCCCATGACAACACACCACATACCATATGCCAGCATTTTCCACCCCCGCCAAAGCTCCTCGTCAGTCTTCTTATGCCTCTCTGACGAGCCCTTCCATGTCAGCCCTTCCAACTAAAGTGCAACCCTGATCTTCCCAGGAGAAATCCTCCCACAGTTGCTATGCTGGGTGATCATCTTCACCAGGGAAGCATCCCTCATTCCCCCTGGTCATAACACTTTCCCTTACTTCCTGCTTTCTAGCCTTGGAGATAGCAGCAGGTTAAGTTCCTCTGCTGCTCTCCTGTCCAGCTAAAGAATCAGCATACAACTCCCTCTACTGCTCTCTCTCGCCTTCATCCCTCTCCAGCCCGCATTTCCCCAGAAGTCTGGCTTGGAGATAGCAGCCAGCAAAACCCCTCATGCTGCTCTCCTGCCTACAGCCTTCTCCCAGGAACCAGCTACAGCATCCTTCCAGGGCCTTCCTCAGTCTCCTGGTCTCCTGCAACTCTCACCTGCCTTTCTTGAATAACTCACAGGGTCTTTCCCCTCTGTTTCTCCTTGATCCTCTATAGCCCCAATTGCTGCCCCACCCTCTTAATTGGCCAAATGGCAGTACCTGTTCTGGCTCAGGAGCACTGGACCTACTTCATTTACAGGGCCTGGCCACCCTGTGACTGGGCCCAACCCTGGTCCCCTGATATTGTGGAAAAACTCACAGCTTCAGTGGAAGGACAGTTGCCCTTTATTTTCATTATACAATTCTTGCTGGTACTTGGTCACCTGTGCCAAACTTATGATTTAGGAGAACGAGACAGGATGAGCTAAAAAAGTCTTAATTAACTTCTACGTGCTTAAAGGTGAAAACTATCAGTTCTTTTCCATTAAGAAACATGGTTAATCTGTGCTCTAATCTTGTGGTTTTCAGGACAAGCCAGTGATTGGAGTGCATTCATTCACTGCAAGCATGAAGTTAGAGGCTGTGGATCCAGTAGCACCTTTTGTCCTCTCTCCTGCTACAGTTGTTAAGGTACCGGGAGTCGTTCTGAATTCTCCAGCTATGGCTGAAGCTCAGTTACCGTTTTTGTTCTGTACTTGTTGATTGAGAATTCTCCGCATGCTTTCTTAAATCTTACATTAGAGTTTAAGCTGAAGAATTTTCATAGATCACTTGTGGGTCAGGTAGCTGCCAGGTGACTTTATCCCAGTGGTGAACGCTTTTTAGTTAAAAATTGGTGCAGTGAGAATCATAGCTTGAAAAAATAAACAGCCAAAATGATCAAAGCTGGGTGCCTAAACTTTGACTCCTAAATCCATACTTGGTCATGTGTCATGGAATCACAGGGGCAGTGCTATCTTGGCTCCGTACAGTCCCTGGGAGGAACCCCCTTCGGTGTGACAGCCCTTCTCGGGAGTCACACTCTCTTGGAACTTAAGCCCTAGGCTCCACCACCTCCTGGAACCGCACCTCTACACCTTCAGCATACCTGTCTCTATCCGTGAGACACCTTCTCTCCAGAGAGTCCACGAACTATGCATAAAAACAGAAAGGTTTATTGTATGTCTGAACACAGCACAGAAAGTTCTCAGGGGCCTCAAGCATAGAAAATCTTAGCAAAGTCCATCTGGGACTGTCCAGCATCCAGTTGGGCTCAGGCTGCTCTTCGTAGTCCAGAAGCAACCACTCCTTCCAGCGGCCCACTCTGTAACACCTCCAAGGCCCCTTCTCCATCCTTTGTCATCTTTCCTGGGCAAACAGATCACCTGATGTCTCTCTTTAGCCCTTGGTTCTCCCATTGGTCAAAGCCGTCTGGCTTCCAAGATGGGGTAGGCCATCAGTTGCTAAGTTACAAAGTGTCCTGGCTGTCTGGGTCCCAGCTGCTAGGCAGGGTCACACTTGGTTCTCTGCAACAATAAACACCCTTTCCTACCACCTCATTAAACATGCAGCACATAGGGGAAACTGAGGCACAAAGCATTCATATAAAAATTCCCCACTTCATCGCATCCATGCAACTTAGAATGGCCTGATTTTCACACAATGCTGAATCCTTATAGCTGCTATTAACTTCAGTGGAATTTGTGCATACTTATGATTTTCAAAAGATGCCAAGTATGGATTTGAGAGCCCAGCTTTAGCCTCCCGAGTTTGACAGCATTTACCAACATCTTTATGTTTTAGTAAACACCTAAGAGGTTCCAGAAGACTGTACATCCACATACTATGCAGGTTCCAAAGAGATTATACAACGTATTTAGTCTTCCTTTATGTATTTTCAAACAAATGTTGTGCTCCCTTTGCTTTTTACTATAGAATTAATGTTCTTTGAATCTTTGCTCCTACATCATGTCTTACATTACAGACATTTTACTTCTCTCTCCTGTGAACTCTAACTTATCAGTCTCTTTAAATATGTAATACTAATACTCTGAGGTACAGCCAGTTCTGAATGGAGTAGAATCATTATGGCACTTGTTGATTTTGTGGGGGGGGGGGTAGCACTGCATAGCTGATCCATCCTGGTTATCATTCAACATATGATTTTCTGTGGCTCAGGTTCCTAACCATAGTCCTCATTCTTTATTTATGTATTTTGTTTACTCCTTACAAGATGTTATACCTTTGTGTCTGATTTTAAATATTTCTTGGACTTCTCAGTTCTTAAATTTGTATTTTAGTCTCATAAGCCTGTCTTCCAAAAACATATTGGACACATCTCTCCAAGCTTTGGATCACACATAAATTTAATCTTCTCTCGCGCTGTCTTTCGTCGTCAGTCACTATTGAAAATAGTGAACTTATGAAATAACTAGCCTCTCTAGGATCCCACTCAACATTGTCACACATGAAATAGTTCATTATTGTGATATTTAAAACAAAAAACAACCAACCTAAGAGCATGTGGTTTTTTTGTTGGTTTTTTTTTTAATAATAATCCATATATCTTGTGTGTAATGTGAGGAACATGAAGCCAGGATATATGTCCACTCTATTTCCTTTTTTCTACAAGCTTGTTATCTCATCAAAGATAAACAAATTAAGTTACCTTGATATGGATTGTTTTGATGAGCCCTTTTTATTTACTTGGAGTCATATAGCTCTCTAGGCAATTACTTATTGCTAGCTATTTATCACCTCATTTGTCTTTTAAGTGCCTATAAATTGACTGCTTTATTAATTGTTCTATTACATTTCCAGATATTATCATGCAGTCTGCTGGTCTATGATTCTGTAAATCATCCTGTCTCTCTCCCCCCTCCCCCGCTTCTAATATTTGCAGATGTGGGATTTGGAAAATACCTGACAATAGATTAGCCTTTCAAAATTAAGAAAGTGTATCTGCTACCCTAAAGGCCATCTGTGTCTCTCTTTTTGGATAACTTTGCAGGTGTTCAATGAAAAATATTTCTTGGTGGAAATTGATGACTTGCGACCAGAATGCACAACCAGCCGGTCATACATTTGTCATGTCAACAGTGCTGGTATCTTTCCTGTGCAGTGGAGTCTGAAAAATGGTTTGCATCTCAGCCCTCCACCAGGTACATGTCTGCACTTTTGTCTGACTCACTGCAGTAGGGCTCTTTGAAAGGAAGAGATTATTATCCCCCAGTGCACTGTGTTAAAAATCTACAAGCTGGGACAGCATTTTTGCAGAAGAGGTGTGTGCTACCAGCAGGAGGAAGGGAAAGATCCAAATTCAAGAAATCAGCAGCATTAAGCTAGTGGAGTCTGGGCTTCTCATGGAGATGTACTTGGGTTTGAGGGCTGTGGGCACCCCATGCTGGGCTTGGAATGAAAGCATCTGGTTATCCTTGGAGGGAGCATGCATTCCAGGGTGCCGGGAGTTAGTGAGCTATAGCCTCGCTTCCTGTGATATCAGAATGCTGTAGCCAGTACAATGGCTGTGGAATTTTCTTCTTCATCCTGCCTGTTCAGCTTTATTTTCTTACTCCCCAAGTGCTCAATGTGGAAATGTGTACAGCAGAGGGCAAAGATCTTAGGGTTTTATACTACCACCCGTCAGCATAGTGTTTGAGCTTCATTTTTGCTTTTCAATGGTTAATAGGAGCGGAAAGTGTAATGAGTTTGTCTCTTCCCTTTCCTTACCCAAGGTGTACTAAGGTACTGTGGACAAAGCAGCACTGCTGTTCCAGCCATCTAGCTCCCCAGGCCTGTATTCAGAGCCCATTAAAAGGTTTCAGGCTTCTCTTCTAAGCAGCACGCACAGAAATGGTTTCTCCTCTAAAGGAAGTGTGGTGCCTTTGAGATTCCTACTGGACATTGCTTTGACTGACACAATAGAAAAAACATAAATAGCCCTTGTCCTGGTTAATCCCAGGAGAAGTTAGATGGAATTACTGCAATTTAACCTGAAACAGTATCATAGATGCTGTTTCATGTGTAGCTTTTTATCTTTTATAAATTCCTAAACCCGAGTCATGGTAGTACTCTGTAGGGAATACCTTAGTTATCCACTTTGAAGAAGTATTACAGCAGTGCTATAGTTCTTCTGTTGCTGAAATCCTGCTGTTTTCAATCACATGCAGTATCCTATGCTGGCAGAATAGCACTACAGTACAGTTTCTTGGTCCCTGCTTCCCTTCCTTTATGTTCTGTACTCTGCCTAAACAAGATGGAGAAGGGAATATCTGCTGCAAAAAGAAACTCTTTTGCCTGGATACTGGAGATTTTGGACTCGGAGCTCCCCGCAGCTCAGCATTAAGGTTCCCATATCCCAAATTAATATAGATTTATTAAAATAATAATTATGGAATAACAAAATAGATTAACTACCATGCTTAATGGCTAGATAGTGGATTTGCATAGTGATTCATCCTCGTTACACTAGTTGTCATTTATTTAATATACGGTACATCAGTGCCTAGCAAATTTAAGGCACTATGTAAATAATAACGACTTCTATTAAATCTAAGCCTTTCTGGATTATAACCCTTCGTTTAAAAGTGAGACACTCTTCAGCTGTGCAGTCTGAGCTTGTGGGACACCTTTCAAGAAGTCCTCCTGTATTCTCTAGAATGTGATCAACCTGCAGTGACGTGTTCTGGTTAATGCCCTCTCATGCCTAGCATGTCCAGACTATCTCCAAGTAGACAGTCTCCAAAGAGAAACTAAGACCCATATTTTTAAAGGTATTTAGGTGTTGTTGCACTCAGTGTTGCAACACCAAACTGATATAGAAGCCTACATCTCATTTTCAAAAGGGATCTAGGCAAGCTTCTAAGGCTTGGTCTACACTAAACCCCCAAATCGAACTAAGGTACGCAACTTCAGCTACGTGAATAACGTAGCTGAAGTTCGAAGTACCTTAGTTCGAACTTACCTCGGTGCACACGCGGCAGGCAGGCTCCCCCATCGACTCCGCGGTACTCCTCTCGCCGAGCTGGAGTACCGCAGTCGACGGCAAGCACTTCCGGGTTCGACTTATCGCGTCCAGACAAGACGCGATAAGTCGAACCCAGAAGTTCGATTGCCAGCCGCCGAACTAGCGGCTGGGTATAGACGTACCCTTAGATGCAGTTGAACATATCGTAATACAGCTTCAGTTGTATTAACAGAGAAGCTAATGCAAGGACATTGTAAGGTTTGTCTTCCCTGCAGTGTTATCTCAAGTTATCTCCTACAGAGTTAGTGGAAAATAACACTTGAACAGCATAGTGTTTCCATTAGCAGCATAGAGTAACTGAGTTCTCACTGCATTACCAGTTCCGGTGTTAGCAGCACTCAAACTTCAAACCACACCGCCTGACACGCCAGCTAGTTCGAGTTTAAAGCACCATTTAATTTGGCTAGAGACTTTTGTGTGTGAACGGGAGTCCGGTTAGGGGCAGCACTTGAGTTATTCCTTGAGCTAACGCTGCAGTGAAGACAAACTCGCAAGCAGTAGGGCATAACTTAAAACATGCAAAACCACCCAGGGCCTGATCCTGTGTTGCTTACTTGGCAAAGCTGTGGATTTCCTTATACCGCTTCTGTGGAGTGGTACTGGATTAGGCCTTTCATTGTACAGTGCAACCCACATGCCCCAATTGGGAATTAAATCATCCATATCTTGCATAATGCAAGCATTTGGTTGACTGGAGTCATCTGTTTGGTGTAATACAATTAAGCAACCACTTTGCTTGCTCTTTGCTCAGGTTATCCCGGGCAGGACTTTGATTGGGCGGACTACCTCAAACAGTGCGGTGCTGAGGCTGCTCCCCAGAGCTGCTTTCCTTTGGTGAGCTTTTGCAGAATAATGCTTTTTCCTGTACTGGTGGCTACTCCACATGATGTCCACTTACATAAACAACACCCTTGCTTCCTGCGATTGTTACAGGGGACACATAATGCTTTTCACCCTGTGACCTAAACAGAGCTCATAGTTGTTCATGGAACAGAAGTGTCTAGAGAATGTAATAAAGGTGAACTGAAGTGCTTGTACAAAAAAATTCAGAGTTCACAGATTACAGACCAGATGCTGCTGTCAGTGGCAGTGTGAATCTAGAGTAAAAGGCCATTTCACATGAGATCTAACTGTTCATGGAATCACTGCCACTGCACTGGTCCTTCATGTGTGCATCTGTGTTAAAATGGTACCCTTCCCCTGCTTAGCCCTTGCCACCTATCTAGGGTTTTTTCCCCCACTCTTCTTCCTTAACTGTCATTATGATTTGACTTGAAAATTCAATATAATTTTTTCCCATTGAAACATTTTGAGCTAATTTTAAAAGTAAACTGCTAGGACTTGAGTTGGGGTTTTGTCATTCTGTACCACAGCGGTGAACTGCTGAACACTTTGTGAAAGCATCACAAGAGGGCTGTTTTCTTAGCCCTTGCCAACCGTCTCTCTGGAAAATACTGAGGCAGATGTAGTCATCAGTGAAACACTCAAACTTCCTGGTTTAGAAAAGGGGGATGCTGGCAAAGCTTTTCTTTGCAGCTTATCCTCCTCTTCCCTCTCTCCTCAGTGTCTGAAAATCCAGACGCTGGGCTTTTCTGAGAGGAGTGGGTTGAGAGGTGGGTTGCCTTCTGCCTGTCAGTCTGATTATTTCAGTCTGGTGTGTTACTAGCAGGTAGATAACTGCGAGGAGTTTCTTGATTCTAGTTTTGGTTAAATCCTGTCAGTGAGTCTCTCAGCTGAATTTTTCTCATGCTCCAATGCAAATGCAACCCTATGTGTGTGTGTCATTACATACTATTCTGCCTTGCTTATCTGAAATTCCCTTTAACCTGAAATATGGTTACATATTCCAACATCTGTTAATTACACCGAAAATTCTTTCTGAATCTTTGATTACCCACACGTGTTCGAAGTCCCCCATCATGGTCGTGTAATCAAGTTTGTATGTTTTAGTCCTCCACATGGCTGTTTACATCTGATAGGCTGGTAAATTCACATATTTTCTCCAAACTTCCCTTGATCTGTCATCTTTTTATTAGCTAACTTCCAACCATGGATTTAAAGAGAACATGAAGCTTGAGGCTGTGAACCCTGTTGATCCAGGGGAAATTTGCATTGCCACAGTCACCAAGGTGAAAGAGTCCTACCTTTGGCTTCAATTAGAGGGTAAGTGCCCCTTAAGAGAACAGGAGACTTGCCCCAGTCTAACCTTGCCATGAGTCATGTTAGTACACCAGTCTCACCGGGAGATTGTCATAAATCATTAACCGCAGACACTTTCTGCTAAAAATGTAATTGAAGGACAATATTGTTAGCCCTTTCTCTTGCTCTTCTCCTAGTTAAGATTTAAAATGGCAACATTCACTTATCTTGGGGTTAAAATCACCCTGTGCAGAGAGTTGGCACAAATCACCATGTAAATCTTTTTTCAGCATTATTTTGAGAGAAAAAAAAAATTCTGGGACTTAAGTAGAGTATAGGCTTTGTGCTATATCTCTGCACGGGGTGACTTTCACTTAAGTGAAGGTTTTACTCAAGCTGAGCAACCTGGCACCTGTAGAAGATAATTTGCAACAGAAAATCTAACAAGATAGAGCTGGCCTTTGCATGCTTCTTTATATTCCTTTTATTTTTCAGTAGAACCTCAAAGATATGAACACCAGAGTTACGGACTTACCGGTCAACCAGACACCCTGTGGAACTGGAAGTCCTCAATCAGGCAGCAGCACAGACCCCCCCTCCCCCCAAAATGCAACCAATACTGTACTGCTTCGGGCTTTAGCCACGGAGGGTTGGGGCAGCAGCCATGGCGCGGAGCGGGGCAATCAGGGCTCCACGCTGGGTGGGGAGTCTCAGGGCTTCTGACCCTCAGCAGCACCAAGGCTCAGTGCTTTAGATGGGGTTGGGGGAGTGCTGGCCCCACGACTCTGCTCCTGGTTTCAGTCTCGTGGGGGTGCTGGGGCTCAAGGTTTCAGCCCTGTGGCTCTGTTCCTGGCTTCAGCCCTGTAAGGAGTGCTGGGCCTTTAGCTATGAGGGGAGCACCAGTTTCAGCCCCAGCACTCCCCCCCATCACTAAAGCCCCGAGCCCTGGTATGCTCCCCCCAGGTCTAAAGCACTGAGCCCCAGTGCTCCCGTGGAGCAGAAGCCCTGAGCCCCCCGCCGAGCCCTGGTGCCCCAAGGGTCTGAAGCTCTGACTCCCACCCGCGCCCGGAGTCCTGAACCCTCCCACCCTCCCGTTTTTTTGGCTGCAGTCCCAACCTCCCATGTGGCTGACATCTATAACCTCTTCAGAATTACAGAATATTTCAGAGTTACAGACAACCTCCATTCCCGTGGTACCCATAACGGCGAGGTTGTACTATATTCTTCTTGGCGTATGCACAACGTGCTTCAAGTGGCACGTGACTAGGATTCATCACCGGATTTGGTCTTCTAGTTGAATCATTAGTTTCCCTGGCCTGGACCGGGTACTGACTAGGAGCATCACGTGAACACTGATCCATGCCCCCCTTGATTTTATTTAAAGAACATCAAGGTGCATTTACTATGTCTTGTGCTACTCTGCTGAATGAAAGATGACAAACTCCTTCTTTTCCAGCTTTTAGAAGTGAACAAATGAAATCAGGAAATAGTTGCTGATAAATGAAGGAAGGGGAAAATACTAAACCAGTGGCACTATTTTGCAGTCATGTTGACATACAGATAGCAGGTCCCAATACAGAATTTTGAAAACTGCTGTTTCGGTTACATTTTGCTTCTTTTAACTGAACAGGCTCCAAAAGGCCAGTTCCTGAATGCATACTGAGTGTGGAATCGATGAATATATTTCCAGTGGGTTGGTGTGAGACCAATGGATACCAGCTCAGACCTCCTCGCAGAGCAATAGGTACCAGTTCTGTTCTCTTTGTAATTGCTAGCAGTCAAGATGGGGATGGAAGGTCTTTGAAGCTCTAACATGTGCATCTACTGCAGAATTATACCCGTCATACTTCATGAAACTACAAATGAAAGTGTCATCTCATTTTTTAAAATGTATGCAATTACTAGTGTCTACATAAAATGTGAACATGAAATATGTTTAAGAATCTTTTACTTGTAGGGGGTGGGGTGAAAAGTGAGAGACAGTACAAACTTGTACATTCATATACTTCATATATATTATGCAATGCAAAATGACTAGGAATACAGTAGTACAGGCAGCATACAACCCTTCTAGTCAGTTCAGAATGAGGTTTAAAGTAATGCAAGGGGCATATCAGAGGGGTGACCCCCAGCAACACTGCTCTTGATTGCAACACAGTTTGTGTATAGAATACACAGCAATCTCAAACATGATCTATCAGTCAGTCCATGTAGCTTTAAATTCATCACTCTGTTGAACAGCTCTTCGAGGTATCTAGCTCCTCCAAGCACAAGCGTAGGTGCATGTTTCACCCAATCCAGGTGTCTGTCTTTCTGTTATAGCAGAATTGTTTTCACTGTGGCAAATGCCTGGATTGTAACCTGTATTGGTAGTTGAATACTGCACTTAACATGTAGCTATTTTTATATAACTTCACAGCATTATCTTGGTAACATCTTCTTGTCTAGAACTTCTTGGTGACATTAGATTGTCCAGTTAGACCTGTAAAATATTCAAATACCACAGTGTTGTGGAAGCAGAGAAAGAACTGACAGGAAGGGGATACAAATAGTGAGAACTCTGTTTTTCTCCGACAGTATTGATGGGTGTGAGAGAAGGCAGTCATGCAGATTTATTTATTTTTGGCTGTTGTTATACATACTCTGATGACTGGCCTGAAACGTACAAGTTTGTGAAGAAGATAATTCTGTGCACAAAAGCTGAGATTTTCACAGCTGGTTAGGGGATCTGATGCCCAACTTTCATTAATTTCAATGAAAATTGGGCATGCAAATCCCCTAAACATTTTTGGATAATATCAGCCCAGATGACTGGTATAAATCTCGTATCAGAGGGGTAGCCGTGTTAGTCTGTATCAACAAAAACAACAAGGAGTCAACCATACTCTCTGTTGTTTTGGTATAAACCTTGTGTCAGTTGTTAAATGATTGCAGCAATTTTTGCATGTAGATACCTTTTGGCTTAAAATTTAGAGGAAGTGCTGCCATAAAAAATATTTTGTAATGGAAGTTTAACTTGCTTGGCTTTATTTATTTTATTTATTTATTTATTTATTTATTTTAAATCCTTTCTCTTCTCCTTTCCCCCCACCCCACCCCAATCCGGATTTACAGTGAACAAACAGAGGAAAATTGCTGTAGTTCAACCAGAGAAACAGTAAGTTACAAGTTTATTATTATTATTATTATAATCAGTGTGGATGGTGATTTGTCTTTGTAACTTTAGTTTCATAGAAAAGGGACAGTGAAGTTTGTCGGGCTTGAGTTTATATCTATACTTAATTCCCACTGATCTTGCAAAACAATTTCTGCCCTTCTGAATTGAGAGCTACAGCACTGTTCAGGGACACTCTTTTTGAGTGGGAAGCTGTGGTTTTAACGGTTTAGTGCATATAGACTGCACTGATGGTTAATAGATCATTTCACTCTGAGATTTTAGTTGTTGCTTCATCCCTTGTTTTAAGAAGCTGAGCGATCTTCCAGTATTGGAGGACATTTAGGGTTTTTTGCTGTCTAAAAATATTTGTCAGCATTGTCATCATGTGGATTTCATTATGGAAGCTTTGAACTATTGTAGTGGTTATCCTGAGTTGGGATGATTGCTTCAACTCTTTTCAGTTCATTTTCAGATTCATTCTCCCTTCAGAGCACACAGCCGCCTTCATTAGTGTTAATGTAAGTGCAGTAGTGTACATGTGCTCTGAGGAACAGAATCTGACTTCCTTAGTATTCTGTTGTGCAATTGAGATTTCCACATTATTTGATGGGAACGTTCAGCTGTTCCATGTGAGAGCTCTCATTCAAATAGTGTGCAGCTAGTGTGTTCCTCCAGAGTGAGCGTTGTATTACATGAGATGCTTACCAGATGGAAAATGGGAGAAAAAATAGTTCAAATAGAGACCATCCTTGTGTTCTCATCTTCAAAGGTTTTGTGAAACTATGTAGCATGAGCTTGTTCAAGTGACACTCACAATGATACAGTTAGTCTTGCTGACCTTGATATCATTGCAGGTATCAGATTTTACATGGTTGGACATCCTAATACTTGGTCCATTGTTTTCAGTAAAATAGACTCTCCTAACATGCCAAGCCACCTGTTTTTTTAAATGAGACCATTAGAAGTGTTTTTTAGTTTTTGTTTGAATCCACATCTTTTCAAACATGTGACATGTAAAAACTGTGATGGTGTCTCCATGGTGGAGTGGGCTGTGTTACCATGCACCTTTGACACACCTGACTTTTTCAAACAAGGGAAGAACACCACTGGCATAGAGCTGAGCTAGATCAACACAACTGGCTCTTCCTACAGCCTGAGGAAAGTCGTTAAATACTACAAAGATAATTGAAACCATAGGCTTGATGCACTAAATTGGGAGTGAGAAAGGACCTCGCCTTTTTGCAATCTGGATGTTACTGTATCAACCTTGGTCTCTTCCCAACATCCTCTCTCCATTTCAGAATTTTGTCTTCAAGGACTGTCCATGAGAGGCTGAAGAACCAAGAACTGAATTCCACTGACTCAGGTAAGCGTCTTGTTAAGAAAGTAGGAGAGTTCTGTATCTCTATGGCATTATTGTCTAGCTGCTCAATAACTTCATGTGTCCTGAATTAGTACAATAGGGTAAAAACTTTTCTGAGGGATCTTTCAAATGGCAAGGAAGATTTAACTCGCTAACAGCATACAATTAATGCTGCACATGGTACAATGAGAACATGTCTTGATGCTGGAAGTTGGATTATTGTAGCACCTAATCTTTTCTCCCACCAATGGATGTGCTGGGAGCACTTGGAGCCAAAATATTTAGTCTTAATAACCCACCCACCCAATTACAAAACACTTTCCTCTAAGCTATATAAGTGGTATACATACCAGTAAATCCCATATGCTGCGTGTGAGAAGAAAATTCTTGTCAAATTAATGTCTAAGCATCCCCCAGCAAAAATGCATTAAAATAATATTGAGAGAGATGCATAAAACTCTGGTGCTTGGGTTGGGCTGTTATAATAAACACGTCATATTCCACACTGAACTGTTAGAATACTATATTGATGTGCAGGTTTGTTTGTCTTTGTGATAACTTGATCATCACTATAAAGCAAGACTGTTCAAAGTGTAAAATAACTCATGTGCCAAATGGCGAAATCTACTCATTTTCTGAAGTGTTGAAAGAATGTATATAAGTACATCTGCTGATGAAACAGCTATACAATTCTAGCTGCATAGTATCTAACCCTAAATTGATCTATTTCCCACACAGTAAAATGCATGTCTAAGGTTGTTCTACTTTGCATATTAATTGGTTTTAAAATGGAGATATAATGTCAATATGATTTCATCTGTTTATCAGTTTATAAACCACTGGAATTAGGGCCTTTTTAGATTAAAGTGCTTTTCAATCAAAATTATAGGACTACTAGAGTAAAATGACTTTATTTTTGTATTTATACATCCATAAATATTTTGATATATAGCAGCTTAAATTCTGAAGGATGCCAAGGCGTTTTACAGACTTTAACTGGCATGCAAACTAAAAACAAGGATTACTTCATCCAACATTAAAGCGCAGCAACTGCTGGTGGAAAAAAAATAGCAGTTTAACAATGCAAAGCAATATTATACAACAGTTTAGGTTAGGAAGTAGCAAATAGTTTTTCTGCTTGAAACTGCAAGGAGAATTTAGGGAGCAGTAATTACTGGACTTGAAATTTGTTGAGGACTCTGGTGCTTGAATTACTAATCTTCTCCAATTATATCAAGTGTCTAGGACCTTTGTTTTTTCCCCCCTCCAATTGCATAGTTTCCCTTAGAATCAGGCTTACTTAGAAGAACGAGTATCTCCTGTTAAATCACCAGCACCATTTCCTTCAGTACGGTGGAGTTTCTTTGTGGTCTGACCCAGTCTGACCCTGCCTTGCTTCTTCTGACACCTTCCCAGAAGAAGATAGCATGGGTGCAGAGTCATAGACTTGCCTGAGATGTAATATATAATCTCATACCATATGTTGCAGAGCCACTCACTAGTGTAGGTTTGTCATACTTCTATGCCCATTTCACCTGTATAATGCCCTCCAATTCACCTCCACTGGGACTTCCAATGTTTCAAACATATGAAGAACTTTAAATAGCCAGCTTGTGTTTTATGTTTTTGTAATAAATTTGCCATAGAAATGTTTCCTGACTGTCCCTTTTATCCCCTTTCAACTCCTCCCTCTTCCACTTTCCCCACATTGAACAATATTAAATTTCCCCAAAATGAGAATGGCCATAGGTCTCTGACACCAAGTGATCAGGACCAATGACTAGCGGTAAGCTCCAGTATTTTCCATGAGGACTAGAAATGTGTGCTTTATACCTTTTGGAAAGGGAAACTGCCTGCTTTTAATGTGATTGTGTCATATACTTGTAGCCCTTTTCAAGAAACCTCTTAAACTGTATTGGTGGTAACTAGAAGCAGACAGATATGCAAGTCAGGTATCTTATTTACTCTATCTAGTGTAAGGCTTTTGAAAGCCTATGCACTCTGGAACCTTTTAAAAATGACCTAAAATAGCAAATTCTTATGTCTGCTTTCTCCAAAAATTCTATGGCTCAGAAAAGTGCTGGGTATTCCAATGGAAAGTTGGTAATATGCCATTTTTAATGGCATGAAACTCCCATCTCTAGCCTAGATAAGAATACATGTGACCCTAAGACTGTAACTGGTCTGAGAATGAATATTCCCTGTTATGGGCCTCAGAATACTGACTCTTCGTAGGAAAAGGAGGCAACCTTTCTCTTGCTGATTTTTTTTTCAAGTGTTTTTTGCTGCTTAGAATGTTAGAAGTATTTGCAGGGAATGGATCATTGGGAATGCACAGATGAGGTGGGCAGTCAAAGGTTCATGATAAATTGCAGAGCTGTATGACTGGATCTGGTTTTGGGCTCACTTTGTTATATGGGTGTGGTTATATTGCCAATACATAAACAGGGTGTGAGTATGCATGTAAAATATAAGAAGTACATCTCAGCAGCATCAATTACAGTCAATGCTATCATTGCAAATGTGACACTTTAACTCCCAAAATGTATGTGGCTTAAACTTTTTTACAAAATATTAAACTTTTCAAGAAGCCAGTCTTGGCTGGGGAGATTGCATTGCATGATCTAAATCTTTGCTGCTGATTTTCATTTCTCAGTTGTAATTAATGGAAAGTACTGCTGTCCAAAGATCTACTTCAACCACCGGTGTTTCTCAGGACCTTACCTTAACAAAGGGAGAATTGCAGAGCTGCCTCAGTCTGTGGGACCTGGGAACTGCGTTCTTGTCCTTAAAGAGGTGAGAGGGTTATGAGTGTGTGGCTGTGTGTGCAATACTGCATTTTAAACTCCAGAGTGACTCTCTAATTAGAGATAGGTAATGAACTAATCAATATAAGGCAAGGGTTCTCAAACTGGGGATCAGGACCCCTCAGGGGGTTGTGAGGTTATTACATGGGGGGGTTACAAGCTGTCAGCCTCAACCCCAAACCCCTCTTTGCCTCTAGCATTTATAATGGTGTTAAATATATAAAAAAGTGTTTTTAATTTATAAGGGGAAAGGGGTCGCACTCAGAGGCTTGCTATGTGAAAGAAGTCACCAGTACAAAAGTTTAGGAACCACTGAATAAGGGAATGATTATTGTTGGTGAGTGTTCTGTTTCTTGGCTAAAATTAAGCATAAGGTATTGAGTGGTTAGAGATGTGGTAAAATACCTCTGATCCACCAGAGATGTAATCATTTTATTATTATTGCATTTCTTATTTTTATGTCAAGTAAACCCTAATTAACATTACTGAAAACTACCAGCTGATGTTAGAATAGTTCAGTCCTATTAAAATCCCTAGAACGTCCTATTAGTTCATAGTATTTTAGCACTTTTTTCTTTTTTTTTCTTTGTACACACAAAAAAAAAGCATTTCAAGCAGCCCAAAAAGCTTCTATTGTGTTGTGTTGGAATATGTGAAATATGGTTTCTGTCCTATGAAACAAAGTAGAGTGGAGCAAAATATTCCCAACTGAATGGGAAAGCTCTCTTTTGAAATAGTTTTTTGTATTTTGTTGCAGGAACTTAATTGGGCTTATGTCTATGCAAATCTGCCAGATTCATAACTTTTTCACTCACACGGAGCATTGTGAGTGAAAATGGAGACATTTTCCAATTGAAAACTGCCTCGTTTCAAGAAAATATTATACAGCAAATCACATGAAAATGTCCCTTGTGACAATAGTCATTTTGCTGAATTTTCCGCAACAATATGTCTGGGGTGCGATATCTCCTGAAATGAAATGGTGAATGTTTTCTTGGGAAGCTTCTCTAGAATATTTTCCCCATTTCAGTACAACTCTCCCAAAATGAACAGAATGTGGGTTAAGTGTGGAGTTAACTTTCAGTCCTCTGCTTTATTGCATCAAACAACCATCAGGAAGCAAAGGTCATAGGGAAGACTTTTTGGCAACCAAGCCACTTGTGACAGCCACTTCTGAGTTTGATTTTAATAGAAAATTCAAACCTTGCCATGTATAAAAATCACAGTAGTCTTGCATACGCTAGGAAAATCTGTAAGCATTTTCCTGTCCTTTGGTGACAGACAACATGGTGGTCAAAAGACCTGAGCCCCGTCTACAGCTTCTACTATTGTTAGCATTTGTAGAACTGCACCACTGCAGAAATGTACGTTTTTCTGATGCAGAGCAACTTTGGGTGTGTAAACACTTTGCAAGAACTGGAGGGGAAAAAAAGAGTAAGCCATAAGTGAATACTGTAGCTGAGTTTTCAGAGTTAGATAAACTAATACCCTCAATAAATTTACAGCTAAGCAGGTTAAAGATAATCAAATTGTATGCTTTGTGTGTAAGGTGACTGCCATGAGGCTTGGGAAATAGTTCATTGTAACTTATGTTGTACGGTTGGCCAGGCAGCATTATGGGAGCACAGGAGTCCTCTTCCTCTGAAGCATATGGCATCAGCAACTGCCCAAGGCAGGACGCTGGCTTTGGTAAACTGTTGGTTTTATCTGTCATAACAAATCTGTATTCCTGTGAGAAAGCACCAGATTATAGAAGCTGCCTCTGGGAGGGACCTTTGTTGCATGTTAAATGTCATTAATTTTTTTTTTTTAAGTAGTAGCTTTTGTGCTCATTGACTAGAGAAATGGTTTTCTCTCGTGGACAGAATATGGTACAACTGCACAAGATCCTTTGTGGAGGTGCTTTTGCAACCTTTCTAGGAGTAATGACCCTTGTTTTTGTCTCTTTGCTTGTTAAACTGCAAATGTTGCTACCTCTTCCCACATCAGATTCTATGCTATGTTGATACAGATGTTTCATTCTGTAGAGGGTGAATTGAATAGTTTAATTTGCTTCACTGTGGACTTCTACAGTCCTTTTGAGCAAGGCTCAGGGTACTCCACAGCAAGCTGAGCCTATCTGTACAGCAAGGCTTCTGGATTCTGCAGTACTCCCAGTGTGGCAGACTGGAAATTCTGTGGCAGCTTCGTTTAAATTAAAAAAGGCCTGACTTTCAGAAGGGCTTATGAATACCCACAAATCCTACCAAAGTCAGTAGCAGCTACCTGTGTTCAGCATCTTTGAAAATCCACCCAGGAGTTTAATTACAAAAATAAATACTACAATCAATATAGTAGCCCTTGTGTTTATATTGATATGCTCAATATATTTTATGCTGCCCCTCCTTTTTAGTTTTTGATGTGTCTGAGTTTTGATGCATATAATCGCCTTGTGGAAGCTGATGTCACTGGCATTACCCAGGACTGCCTGAGCTTTATAATGTCTACCCTTGAATTAAGTTGGGTGATATGAGATAAGGACAGTGAATCTCCAAAAATTTCTGAGAGCTGCTGAAATCAGTAATCTCTTGGCAGTCAAATTCTGAAGACTTGGCAAGACCCTACTTACGGTCTGTTATGATTTATCATGTAAGCAGTTGCTTTTTTTTCCAAATCCCACTATGAATGAGTTTCAATCTCAGATAGTAGTGGTTTGATGCCAGTTAATTCAGATAAATGGAATTAATCTGCCAATCCACCCTTGCTCTTTAAAACATATTTACTGTATGAATAACCTAATGGGTTTTTCCCTCCTCTCTTCATTTCCATTTGCAGGTTCTCACTTTATTGATCAATGCAGCCTACAAACCTAGCCGTGTCCTTCGAGAACTCCAGCTGGATGAGGATGCTGCCTGGCATGGGCATGGAGAGACCCTGAAAGCAAAGTAAATTCCTGCCCCACATCCCAGTCCAACTGATCCCAGTAGTAATATCTTCTACAATCTACATTTTTGGTTTAACTATTTGCCTTTTAGGAAAATGACATGTGGTTTGTTCAAGACAAATAAGGACACTGCAAAACTTAACCCTCCAACTCATGCAAAATGTTTCAGGAACATCCAGCAGAGTGCAGCTGGTATGGTGTTGCTTATTGTATCAGGTGTGCTCTGATACTACTTTAATTTCAGTGTAGTATTACTGGAGTAACGAGTAGCACATGGCGTGTGCACTAGCAGATCAGCAGCAAACGGGTAAAAGATTTGTAATTTGAAGATAGTTTTGTATTTCTGCTTTGAAAGTGTCAGGGAAGGTTTTCAGGCTGTCAGCACCTTCAGCCAAATTCCATAGTGGAAAAAGGTTTCCCTTTAAATATTAGCCTATTTACAGAGCTGGAGTCAGACACTGGGAAGACCTTGGTTGGGGAATCCATTTTACATTTTTGATGCAAATATGCTGCCCAGTGCTCCTGCTGGGCCTTACTGGTCCATGATTTCTCTATTATTGAGAAACCAATATGTGGCTAGGAACCACACTGAAAGAATATTGTGATAATGTTAACCTAATATAATTATTAAACCCAGCAATTTTGAGCCACTTGGTTAACTATCCAAAAGGGAAGAAAGATGGTCCTGTAGTTGAGGCACTGGACTTTTACCCAACCAGGAGATCAGGATTCTGTTTCCAGCTCCACCACAGATTTACTTCATGACCTTAAGCAAGTCACTAACTCTCTCATTGCCTCCATTCCTCATCTGTAAAATGGACATACTTACCTACCTCATGGGAGTTGTGTACTCAGATATAGTGATGAGTCCATAGAAAATCTTATGTAAATAAAATAAATAGTGTGAGAAAGGAAAGGTCAGTTTTGAGTGGCTTATTGCAATTATTAAATATATTCATCTGATATAACAGTGAGGTCAGAGATGGGTAGGCAGGCTACCTATGGAAATCACTGTCTGTTTTTTCTCCATGTTTCAGATTTTAGGGCCAGTATGCAATTCTAAGTAGAACAACTGTGGTCTGAGGTATCTCCAATAGACTCACTAGCATATACCACTGGATGTACTAAAAAAGCAAAGCTCGGGAATGATGCTTGACTCAGCTATACACAACACCCCCACAACATGTAGTTCCTCCATAAAATCTGTCTGCGTCATATAAGGCTAGTGGACAAATAGAAGATGCCCTTTCTTATTGCTTCATCGTCCACTGGCACCAGGGAAAACATTAATCTGTTGTCTTTAGTCAAAAGAGAAGCTGTCATTCTGGCACATAGAGCCATGGTGTTACTAGCCTTTCCATTCCTTGATAAGTTGCTGAGTAGGTTGAGGAAGAGTGGTTGGTGGCATAGGGGGTTGGTAAGGTGATGTATAGCTTTCCACATCCAGATAACCTGCCAAATGTAGCTGAGTTCACTAGGGGCTGTAAGTTATCCATTTAATGGCGGTTCAGTGGCCTCTGCAATGAGTTGGTGGAGTCAGTCCAGATCCTAGTAAGCAGGTGTCTACATGCTAATGATCATTAATTGGCAATTTTTGCATTACCATCTTAGATTAGATGGTTTAGTCTCCATGCCCATATAAACTATGGGAATATTTCTTCCAAATTATATTGGAAACATACTAGCAGGGCAGTGTGCAGAACCTTGGCACAGCAACTGCCCTTGCTGTACTAGCTTGTTAATATTTATTCACATGTGCATCTGTCATTTTATGTTGCTAAAGGGAGGACTTGGGCTTTGGCCTTCACGAGCTCTCTTCAAACTTATTTTGAATATGTAATGTCTGATATTGATAATGTAATATAGCACATTTATCATAGTGAATAACAGTATTAGGACAGCTAGATTATGATGATATTCTCCCAACGGCAGGTACAAAGGGAAGAGTTACCGTGCCACTGTGGAGGTTGTGAGAACAGCAGATCGGGTGGCAGATTTCTGTAGAACAACCTGCATCAAACTGGAATGCTGTCCAAATCTCTTTGGCCCACAGATGGTGCTAGATAAGTGTTCAGAGAACTGCTCTGTCCTGACAAAGACCAAATACAGTGAGTAGATACCAGGGTTTTTTGCCAATGTAATGATCTTCATTTAGACAATGCCTTTGATCCAAAAGGATTTCAAAGTGTGTTACAAATTGTATATCACTTCATTCACCCTGATGAGCAGCCCAAGTGCTAATGATATAGACCTAGATAATCATTGTTTTGATCCAAGATATGAGTATCTAACAGTGAACTGCAACATCATAAAACCAACTATTAACTATTCTGCATAATGTTGTATTAATTCCTGCTGCTGATTTCTAGGACAAAAACTGATTCCAGGATACTTTCATTAAAAGTTATTTCACTCCTGCCACTCTGCTTTAGAACAAGCTACTCCATAATGTCTTTTACTAATTTGAACTCCTGGCCACAGTGAGAATAGATTGTGCATCATCTCAATAAATCTGTACAGACCATGCCAAATCCTGCAGAACCCCATCACCACCATCTGCCACTCTATAGCTGATGACATTGTTTGCACCAAAAACTGTTCATTTGAGGCCTTTCTCAGAACTAAAGAAATAATCTCCCTTTTTTTGGGTGATTAACTTTATTAATAAACGCATACTTGATGTATTGTATTGAAAGAAAGAATAGACCCATTCATGTTGATGTTCTCCACAGTTGGGATTTCTGTTGGAAAGCTTTCTGTGAATGATTCTGCATTCCTGAGGGCTGATAAGTGAAAACTAATGATGCTGAAGTTCCATTGCAACACAGTGCATGTGAAGCACACACCCTTTGCTTTTGTCCATGTAGCACACTATTATGGGAAGAGGAAAAACAAAAGGATTGGCCGACCACCAGGTGGCCACAGTAATCTGGAAGCAGTCATGAAGAAACCAAGCAAGAGGAGGAAGAGACGAAAACACTTCTTTGTCCATAAGAAAAAACGTTCTTCCACCTCAGTGGACAACTCTCCAGTTGGATCTCCCCAGGTATGCAGCTACAGGCAACTTGCACAGTACAGTGCATCTTCATAGATTGGCTGTGCAGAGTCCTATTCCAACACCAAGGCAGTTACCAGTTCCTTTAGACTCTGTGCAGCCAAAAAGTTACTGTAGATCAGAGATACGAAGTAGTTGAGGTAGTATCTTTCAAAATCTTGTCTCTCTCACTGGCAGAAGTTGGTCCAATAAAATATATTACCTCACCAACCTTGTCTTTCTAATATCCTGGGACCAAAATCATTACAATAGCACTGCATGCAATTGGGAGTGTAAAGATCAGAGACTATCATAGGACTTTTATGTATTAAATTTCCCATTCTAAATTTATTATTTCTCTTCTCCTTCAGGGCAGTGGGGGAGAGGAAGAGGATGACCAGGATGATCTAGATGAAGAATCATTGAGTGAGGACAGCACCTCAGAGCAGCAAGATGAACTGCTTGAAGAGTCGGAAGTGTCGGAGAAGAAATCACGGTCCTCCTCTCCCACGCAAAGTGAACTGTCCCACTGCCTGGCTCAGGATCAAGACAAGCGGAAGAGAAAGCTCCGGACCTTTTCCTTCTCTGATGATGAAAATAAACCCCCTTCACCAAAGGTACCTCTTAAAATACAAAATGTCTTACTTTCTCAGTGGTTTGGTCACTTCCTCAGGCGTGGGGAGGGAGATACCATTAATTCAGAATTTTCCTCCATTTGGCAGTTTGCTGTGAATTTCACTCATCACCCTGATTGAAAGTTGCTTTTAATTTCCAATGTACACCTGATGCACTCTGTGTCCTGTCTTCCCAGTGCTAAATGCAAAGGTGACGTTCCTTGAATTGCAAGAAGGGTCGATAGAGCAAATGTTGGCTCTAAAGGGGGTTAATATAGCAGCTGTGATAGCAGCTTACTGGCTAATCTATTCACTCAACCCAGGCCAAAATGATGATGTTAGAGGATCCTATCTTGGAAAATTATTACCAAAATTATCAGCAAATTTTGGTATTTCTTAAAAATAAAAACGCCTATTTGTGATGAAGTGACAAGCTGCTGCCGTACCAAACTGTTCCTTCAGAACTCGAGTCTGCAATTATTAAAACTTAAAATTAACATAACTGTAATGAAATGTAGTTTGATTGTATCAGGACCCACCCAAAGCTTAAGTAGCATGAAAATAAGAAGGACCAATGTGCCATTGTCAGATTGCTTAAAATGCCATCAGAAGCACTCCATAAAGTTTTCACTTCCATCTCCAATACAGGCTGAAAAGCAATACATACCACAACTTTCACTTCCACACAACCTTAATGGTAACCTCATATTCTCAGATCATCTCATAAATCTATTCATTTGGAAAATTACTTTGCCCTAATATTGCCAAGGTTACACAGCTAAGGTTTTGTTTGTGTATTGTATGTGATGCTAGTCTAGACTTCTAGTGCGATACAGTGATAACCAGGGGGAGTTCTGCATCTGAATGGGAAAGATGAATTCTCCTGGCCGTGCAAAAATAAGTGTTTTCATGCCCTGCTGCTCTCTGGGAATCCAGGAGCAGAGAGAAATCCAGTAAAAGCCTGAGATTGTGCACCACCATGCCTGATGTCAGGCAGGGACCATGAACTTGAGGGGACTAGCATTTCCCATGCTCAAAGCAGCATACAAATATTACTAATCTTCACAACTTGCCTGGGAGGGAGGAGAGGATACTACCCCAATTTTAAAAAAATATAAAAACAACTTTTGAGAATTTTTCCAAAAGCTGCACAGCAAGCTGTTGGCAGAGCTGGGATTTTAGAACTCAGCACTTCCTGACTTCCGATTCTTAGCATTCTGCTAGACTATGCTGCCTCTCAAGTTCAGAGTTATTTTAGGAACATGCTATGTGAACATGGCAATATTTTTGGACATGGCAAATATAACATTTTGGGGTTTTGGGGGGGGCGGGTGGGTTAGGAAATAAAGATTGAAGTTGCCGAAAAGCTGCAACTGGACAGTAACCCTCTGGAATGGAGCGTGGCTGACGTCGTGCGGTTCCTCAAATCCACGGACTGTGCCCCGTTAGCCAGAATTTTCCTGGATCAGGTATGCAACACTTTTTTTAAAATACGTGAACCTGCTGCTGCATTATCTGCTGATTGACTGACCACGTGAAACCAGTTTTAATTACTAAAGGGTAAAAAATGTTACTGCAGTTTTTATAATGTTTTTGATATGGCAAAAAACTTTACACTTTGTTTCTTACAGCTCATTCTAGAATAGAGGCATTCGATTATGTTCCATTGCTTACTGAATGTTTTGCTATGTGATGCATTTGATTTCCAAAACTGACTTGAGAGAAAACTGATATGTAGCAACTAGAACAGGTCACAATGAATTCAGTGGCCTGTTTGAAAGAGGATATAGAGCTTGTTATATTGACCCAAATAGCACTCCCAATATCAAATGATTTGTAAATATTGTACCATTTACTATAAATAACAGTGCTTTGTAAACCTTAAAGTTTGGAGACTGCTAAATATTTGTTACCAGGCATCACACAGTGCTTTGCTAATGCACTAACAAAGAGGGAGTGTGATAAATAAAGTGGGGGATAGCTCCCTTTGATGGGCACCCAGCCAGCCAGTTAGCTGTAAAATCCCTCTTGGTAGCTGTTCTTTACTTGCTTTACCTGCAAAGGGTTAAAGTCCCCCAGGTAAAGGAGGGGAAAAAAAGTGGGCACCTGACCAAAAGAGCCAATGAGAAGTCTAGAACTGTTTTAAATGGGGGGGGGGGGGAGAATTCCCTTTGTTGTTCTCTGGGCTGCAGGAACACAGAGCAGCAGAAATGCTGTGTAAGGTTTGAACCAGGTATGAAAAAGTATTTTCCATAGCTAGAAGAAATAATTTGGATAGGGAATGTTTAGACCAACACTATCAGGTTTATTTCTTATTTTGGTTTGTGGCTCTCCTCTGTGCTAACCCCTGATGCTTTTGTTTGCTTGTAACCTTTAAGCTAAACCCCCAAGAAGCTAGTTTGAGTGCTTAATTTTTGGAATTGCTCTTTTAAAAGCTAGCAAATGCCTACGTTCCAGATGTATTTTCTTTTTGTTTTAATAATAAAAAATTAAGAACAGGATTGGATTTTTGGTGCTCTAAGAGGTTTGTCCATGTTTGATTAGCTGATAGAAAACAAAGGAGATTAGCTGTGGCTTTCTCAGCTCTTCCCTGGAGGGGGTGAAAGGGCTTGAGGGTACCCCACAGGAAAGAATTCCCAAGTGCTCCTCCTGGGTTTGCATTTGGGTGGTGGCAGCAGCATTTACCAAGCCAAGGTCAGAGAAAAGCTGTATCCTTCAGAGTTTAATACAAGCCTGGAGTGGCAAGTATTAATTTTTTAGAATCCTTGCAGGCCCCCACTTTCTGCACTCAAAGTGACAGAGTTGGGGATTCAGCCTTGTTTATCACAGGGAGTCATTAGGGAAAGAAACTTTAATGCATATTTAAGAGGGTATCAAAAACACAGCACAAAAGTGAGAATCCTTGTAATGTATTTTTTCATATTACATCTATTTTTCAAAGGTAGATTTTGCCAGTCTTGCCTGTTATGTGCTCAGTACTACAAATTGCCAGGTCCCTCCTGAGTGGTGAGCACAAATTTTGCTAAAGGCATTGTAGAAGGTCTGGACTCACTCCTGCGGTGCCTCCTGCTGGTCATCCAGGGAATTAGCTCACCAGCCTCTGGAGCACCCTCTGCAGGCCGGTGATCCACCTTGTCATCTGTACTGCCCCCCCCGTGTCCCTCCCAGGACCCGGGTGCCCCTAGCCCTGGGTGCTGCCCCCTGGCAATACCCACACACGCTGGGTCTCCCCTCCCAGGGGAACCCCCACCTACTAACCCCACCTCACCTCAGGATAAGGCCACTGCCAGTCCCCACTCTCTGGGGCAGACTGCAGTATAGGCCACTCATCATCGGCAAGGTGGGGTTTGGACCTGCTACCTTGGCTGCCCTCTGCAACCCACAGTACCCCTTAGCCTTCTCCTAGGCCGCAGTCTGGGGCTTTCCAGGCTGGAGCTCCCCAGCCTTTCCTCAGCCCTGTTCCACTCAAGTACCTTGTGTCTACCTCCCTGCAGCCAGGCCCATCTCTCTCTGAAGGCAGAGAGAGACTGTTCAGCTCCTGGCTCCCAGCCCCTTTATACAGGCCATCTGGGCTCTGATTAGGGTGTGGCCCAGCTGCAGCCACTTCCCCCAATCAGCCAGGGTTTTACCTTGCCCAGCCCCAGCCCTCTGCAGGGCTTTTCCAGCCCCTCAGGGCAGGAGCGGGTGTCCACCCCGCTACAGGCATAATATGAAGGCTGTAGGTGTTATTGAGGGTGTAATTTGGCCTGTACAACCTATATTACAGTGTGGATGCATGAGAACACAACCCAGATTGCTTCTCTGAACACAGATTGAGTTTGTAGGGCTAGAAATTAAGGGGGGAAATACCATTACTTGTAAACTGAATACATTTTCTTTGGAACCATTGAGACAGTAAGGGTGAAACCATGAGATACCTAATTTAGACAATTTAGAATGGACCTGCACTTCAAGATGAGGAAGGAAGGAAGCAAGTAAGTAATGAGAGGGAGATTTCTAGCTAAATGAAGCAGCACAAGTGAAAGAGCAAATTCCTAGGGGTAGAGAGTCATGAACTGAAATTTAAGGAAGCCAAAATTTGAATGGGAGTAAATGAGCAACTAATTCTGCCTTATCAATGTTCTGTTTGTCTCCTGACAGGAAATAGATGGTCAGGCGCTTCTCCTGCTCACCCTCCCCACTGTTCAGGAGTGCATGGACTTGAAACTTGGGCCAGCCATTAAACTTTGCCATCACATTGAAAGGGTCAAACTTGCTTTTTATCAGCAGTTTGCTAACTGAGGGGTGGCCAAGTGGAAGTGGACCTTTGGAAGCACAACTACAGCAACATGCTCCTCCCTTTCTGGCGGGGAAAGCCAAATGGAGTTAAACTGAGGCTCCAGTTCTGGTGACCTACAAACATCTGTTCAGCCACAGTTTTGCACTTTGAGGGAAGGAAGACAACATCTGGAGCAAAATGTCAATCAAACATAGCAGCTACCCTACCAGCTGGCTGCTAGCTTGGGAACACGAGTCTCTCACTCTGATCACGTCTTTTTTAATTTTTAAAAAATGGTTACAGAAACTTTCCTATAAGGAGACAGATGTTTCAAGAGTTCTGGTGGTGCAGAATTAGAAAAGGTAAAGGAGAGACAGATGCCATGTAAGTGAGAAGACAGCTACTGGAAAATGTTTTTCCTGTTCCTAACCAATCAAGAAGAACTCCATTTCCTTTCTCTGAAAGAGAACATTTGCTTTAAGACAGCACTGGCTTTGGGATGTGCTCTTTACACATCAGCGCTTTTTTAATTTAAATTAGCTCATTGTCAGGACAACGATGTGGCCACAGGGTTCTGAATGTACGATATAGCAAGAGTTGTTTCTTTTATATTAGTGTTTTTGGATTCTTTTTTTTTTTTAAACTACCTCTGCCGCCTGCACAGTAAAAGTGGTTACTGAGGATGGGAGGGGGTTAATTCTTTTGAGAAGTTCATTGGTAGCTGTACAACAGCTGCTGTTCCTTAGAGAGATCTAAAGCTCAAAACCTTATCACCATGGAGTTCTGATCTCCAGGTAAGCTCTGTTCCAAAGCTTTGACTGAAAACAACATAAATTTGTTTGGCACTTCAGGAGCATCATCTTTTTCCTTAGGAGGAGTTTGGAAAATATACTGCTTTGCACTCTTTCTCTCCCTGTTGAGGGTGGGAGAAAGAGAAAGGGCTCCCTATTCTGCATACTGCCTGTCAGGTAGAATTACTGGACCTATCTTTTAAAAACATGGCTTGAATCTCTTTGTCCCTTTTCTACCTGTACAAAGTAGCTGGGATCATAGCAGAGCATGTTAAATGCTGCTCTTCTCCCTGCCCCTACTACGTGAATCTCAGGTCCATGTGTAAACTAGGAAAATTCACCATCCGTTCAGCTCCACCAGAGAAGGCAAGAGTGGGAGCTGCAGTGTGGACATGACTCAGGTTTTTTTGACTCAGACAAGGCCATTTGGCAAAAGTGATTGAAAACTAAGCCCTGCCTACACTAACTTCTGCTAGTGGAGCTGCACTAGTGGTGAACTGTGTGTCAGGCCTGAATGGAATCAGATAGCCATCATAAGGAGCTCTGTACAGCTGTTATCTTCATAAGCTTTTAGTGGGCAACAGAGCCAACCTTACTGTCTAATACTGCTGTGTGAAATGGCATCAAACCTCAGACCCACTTGAAAAGGAGCATTGAGTTCCAGATACTATGCATTCATCAACCTCTGCCTGTGTTCGTAAATGTCTGGGGGAACATGAGCCAAGATTTTACATACAGGTGGGAAATCAGAAAGCATGCCTTCCCTGCTTTTCCCTCCACTCAAACTCCTGCAGAAAGCCCTGAGACAGGCACTAGGACACTTGAAGAAAGTAGGAGATGCTGGTGCTTGCTAAGGGAGTTTATTTGAGGAGGCAGTGCAGGAAAGAAATGTTTAGTGGGTTCCAAGATGTAAGGTAGCTAGAGGCTTGCCATAGAGGCAGTCTGAGCTCCATGCAAGCCTACTGGGTTTAGTTCCTAGGATGTTGTATGACCCAAACTGTAGGGTTCAGTTAGGGAATCCTTTGTAAACTGAAAAGTGTAGGGTTCACTTTGTCCTAGTGTCCATTCTTGGCCCATCCAAGACACTGAGGGGAAGTGAATGCAGTGAAGCAGCTTTCATTGAGAGCAGCTCTGGATAAGCAGAGGGTTTCTTTTGCTGCAGGTTCCTTAGAATAGTTCAGTCAAGGCAAAAATATTTAGAGAAGTGCTAAATTCCAAAGAATCCTTCTTCACCCTAAAATAAAAATCTAAATGTAAGACAAACTATTTAACAGTATCCTTTGGGAGGGGGGGAGGTTTGAGAATGAGATGCACATTCCTTTCTTTTGTTTTTCAATCCATAGCTAGTGAGGTTTAAAACGTATTTTTATTGAAATTGTCCCAATCTCCTCCCAATATGCATCTAATAATAGAAATTTTGGTTTTTGATATTTCGCTTGGGAAAATGAAGTGACTTTTGGCACTTCACCTTGACAGACTTGACCAACAGGCAACATCAGGCTGGATGATCATACAGAACAAGGTTTCCAAGGCCCTCTATTAATTGAAGGAAAAGCTGACTCCAAACTCTATTGACAGCTCTGTAGCCAAGACTGCTGCATTTCCCTCCTGATAAAAATGGGTGTATTTAGGTAGATGTCAGAAAAGTACAGAACTTAAACATAAAGAGATATTTACCAAACTTTTTATCACAAAGTCTAGGGTTTTGTTTTAAAGTATAAATTTCATACTCCATTTGTCAGCTGCTTCAGAGGCCAATGAAGTAGCTACAGGTCACCTTGGGCATGTTTTATAGGCTGATTTTTCTGCCTCACTTTGGAAGGCATTTGCAGTCTGGTCCCAATGGGATCCACTTTTATTTGAGTTTTCAAAAGGGATGTTTTCCATTGTTTGTGTATAATGTTTCTATGCTGCGCACATGTTCTTGTACACTTCACTTCCTGGGGAAAATGCACTCTGTCTTTTTTGCTAGATTTAAAGGGGATATTTGGGGATTGCCTATGGATGGTCTTTTCATTTGATACTGTTTTAAAAGATCCTTTTCCATCTACAATACGAAGAGGTATTTTGGCTTATATCTGTTGATCTTACGCTGACATGACTTGAAATAGGCTCACATGCTATGGAAGTTCCTTTGTTTCTGCAGAATTAGATAGCTTTGAGTAGTTTGTTGGGTGAATCTTGGCATTAGGCTAATCATATCTTCATCAGCAGGAGTTGCTGTGACCTGAACTGGCTTCAGGGATTATACTGTATCCACTTGCCATAAGTGTTGCATGGGAGGTGGGCAATGGTGTTCTGCAAGTCTCTAGGGAATCTTCACTACAGGAAAATGAGCTCCTTATTAGGTACCACTCGTTGTGTATATACAGAGGTAAAGGAGGCTCTTCCATGGCTGACCAGTTGAGGAGCACAGGATTTACTTTTCCTGCCTCCCTCACTTCTTTTAATATTATAAACTTGAGTGGCTGCATTATACAGTCTGAGTTTAGCACATCATAGCTTTAGAAAACTTGGGGTGCTACCCGCATAGCATTTACTTATGGGGCTACATTTAGCCATGTTGAGCAAGCAGATTTCATTAGCGGGCTGGTTTATTGTACTCCCTGCACTAGTAGAAAATGAGCCAATAGCAGAGAGGTGCTTGGTCTCTAAAAATGTGAATGTTATAACATCCCTTGGATGGCAAGTGAACATTTACTGTCTGGTTCAAGAGCAGCTTTTAGCCGACTCTCCCAAACAGGCAGAGATGAAAGGAAAGAGACCCTTCCAAAAAGGAAACGGTACACGACTGATCATACTGATCTAAAGCTACTTCCAATTTTTTTCTAGCATTTAAAAAAAAAAAAGCAAGTAACTGTCTGGGGAACCAGGCAGAAAGCCATTCACATTTGAGGATGGTACAGAATGCCAATGAGCTTTCCAGACCCTTTTGGATTTGATAAAGACAGCATGTTCGATGGGACTCAGGTGTAGTTTTTAGATTTCTGCCCATCACAACACTAAGAGTTCTCTGTTGTGGTGACAGACTTTGATGCTAGATTTCTTATTCCCAATTCTAATGATGTATATAGAGCAGAGAGGACTGTTAAGTTGCTAAGTTCAAAGCAATATAAATATATTTATTACTTGCAGGACTTAGCACTCCATTTTTCCACATGATGTACAAAGATTTTATGTATAACTAGCATGAGGCTTGATTGGCTTATGAGATCTTGATGGCAGCCAAATCAAACCCATCAAATTCTGCAGTTTAAGATTGGATAGGAAATGGATGCCTTCGCAAATCCACCCCACTGTTGTGTTCAGGACAAAAGAGCAAGGCAAGTACGTGGGCAAAAGAAAAGTCACTGGATTAGGTAACCTTATCATAAAGCCAAAAATATGATACTATACATAGCTTCTTCCTAACCAGCTGCTGTAGGACTGGTTACTGCCCTACTGTGAGTTTTGAATACATTCACTAAGCACAAAGGCCCAGTCCTCAAAGGTATTTAGGCTCTTAACTTCCATTGAAATGAGTGGAAGTTAGGAAGCTAAATACCTTTGAGGATCTGGGCCAATGTAACTGAGTATGTCTGAAGACTTCTTAAATGTTGGTTGAAAACTCCATTTCAAATTAATGATGTGCTGAGCCACATTTTAGTGTGTTGCCTGACTTTTCCCAAATCATACAAATAGCCTTGTTTTTGAAGGCAGCCTTATGGGTGAAAGGTTAGAGTGGGTCTTGGATACACTAATTACAGTATAAGCTTCATTATTGTAATTTGCCTTTTTTTAATATCATATTTGAAAACTGACCAGCAAAAATGGAGTATAAGATTGGTGGGACTTGAGTATCTCCATCCTGGATTCTAGCTCACCATAAGTTGGATCTGTCAATGTGCTGCAGCATATCACAGACGGCAGATGGAATTGCTTGATCAGAAGATAAACGTGGTCTGTTTAGTCTGACACCAATGGTGAGACGCTGAGCCCTACGCCATGGAAGTCAGCAGATCTCACTCTGACAAACTTCAGAAGCAGAGGATCTAAGGCCTTGGCTACACTGGCGCTGTACAGCGCTGCAACTTGCTGCGCTCAGGGGTGTGAAAACACCTCCCCCCCCGAGCGCAGCAAATGCAGTGCTGTAAAGCGCCAGTGTAATCAGCGCCTGCAGCGCTGCATGCTCGCTCACAGCGCTGCAAGCTACTCCCCTCGGAGAGGTGGAGCTCTCGCAGCGCTGTAAGAGAGCTCTCGCGGCGCTGGCGGCGCGACTACACTTGCGCTTCACTATTAATCCCCAAGTGTAGCCAAGGCCTAAGTGACTTAGCACAATCAAACTGACACCTGTGATTGGCTCTGCTGTCTCATGGGTACCTGTGAAAGTCTCCAGCATTGCCGAGCGTGAGGAAAACAACGCAGATCTGGCTTTAGTGGTGAGGCTGGAGCTCTCGGTCAAGCAGGGTGAATGCATAGATGAGTTTGTGAAGTCCAGGCAAAAATTAATACCTGCCCCTTCCAGAAGTCGTCTAGCTCCAGTTTCCAAGAAGCCTCATGGAAAGATATTTTCTGTGTTTCTCTTGAGGTCTCATGTTTCTCCTCCCTGTTCTTCTGTTTGTTTTTACTTCTGTTAAAGCCTTTGCAGACAATCAGAGGTCTGCTGGGAGACTCCGTCCTGGCTAGTATCATCACCATGCATAGGCCTCTTTCTTATATTAAATCATTGGAATTGATGCACTTTTCCTGTATTTTGCCTTTTTAAATTAGCTGCTTGTTCTTCTACCAACAAACAACAAAACCCAATTTAAATGCATATTGTGTTTGTGTCCCTCCTGC